CTTGGAGCAAAATGGAGGAAGGATTTATTTTGAATGCGGTACTGTCAAGAAAGACATCAGAGATAAGGTGGCAACTGGACTGGAAATGTAAGTGTGAGAAAGAGTTTGCTGAGTTCACAAGGGAGAAATAAATATTCTAGCAAATGAAACAGCATGAGAAATGGCATGTAATTCTTCTGCTTCTCACCTTCCTTGAACATTCTAGGAGAGAATCACCTTCCATATTGATGGGGTGACTTCAGTCTATTTGGGCCTCAATTGCCTCAAGTCTAAAGAATTTGGAAGAATAGTGTCTACCTCATAGAGTCCTTGTGAGGTGTAAACAAGATAATAATTATAGAGTGCTCAGAAAATTCCTGACACGCAGTGGCACTCAACAAATAGTAACCATTAGTATTATCTCATTTTCATTAGAAGTGTACGGGACTTAAATACACAATTATTATTTTGTTTACAAGTCACACGGTACTTTAAATAATTGTCAAACTCTTTCCTATGTGTGTGTCTTGTTTAAGTGCCTATACGACAGAGATTAAAGCTTAACCTCACATCTCCTTCGTATCAAGCAAAATATCTTAAACATACATTGTTGAGAGACAAATGCTCAGAATATAAGAAAATATACTTTGAATAAAATGTCAGTTGTACAGATTCTACTGGGTATGTTGACCTCTCGAAGGATAGGCCAAAAATATTCTCTCATGATATCCTATATCTGAAGAACATGCCAATAGTAATTTAATATTTTTTTAAAAGACCCATTGTGCCCATGTGTTTTACTATTTAAATGTAGTAAATCATCACATAATACCTGGTTCAAACTGAACAGATTCAATAAGACAAAACAGACAGGAACTTCACTGGGATCCTTTCCGCCTCGTTGACCACCCAGAAAATCCAAAGAAATCACAGTATTCCTAACTGTACAGAAAATATATCTTCCATTTTATTTTCTTAACAGCATTCCACATGACTTGCTTTTAACCTCTTTGACATCAGAGGCTATCTAGGCATTATAAAATCCATTCTCAACATATTACTCTGGAGTTAAATTCACAAAAGAGAAAGTGACACTTGTGAAATCTGGAGAAAAATGTCATATAAGGGGTGCACTTTAGAAGATAGATCAGGCAAAGGAAGAAGCAGGGGAGCTGATTCACCTGGCTAAGCCAAATTGGAGAGATCACAGTATAACAGGAAAAGGAAATGTGCCTATTCTATATATAGGACTACTTACCAGATAGGCAACTATCCAATCTACTGTGAACTGACTGACTATTTGGTTTTCCCTTAGGATAAACAACAACAAGCGTCCTGCACATGATCGCAGTAGCTCTCAGCAGGGTATAAAAAGCGACACAGAGCAAGGAGACATCAAACTCAAGAAGCTCACTCTCCTATAAATGCACCCAGAACCTCCAGCCTTTGACACCATGGTCAACTCCTGCTGTGGCTC